TGGGAAGCCCCTAAATTAAAGATCTCACTTCTCTCTGAATAATTCCAGTGACTGCAATCCTCATGGCTTGTTTCACCAATGTTCATTCTTTCTCTTTTTTTTGCCAGGAGCCAAACTGCTGTTCCCACGGAGGGTCCCAATTTAGGGAAGGAAGGAAAACAGGAACCTCAGTAGGACCTGCTTATTGGGAACAGAGATATAGTAAAACACTGCACTCCCATAGCACAATTCATCAATGTCAAAGCACTTTACACAGATGGGTAAGTTGCATCCTGGTTTTACAGATCCTGGTGAGGCACGGTGATGAAGTGACTCGCTGAAGATCACACAAGCAAGTCAGTGGAATAACCAGGACCTGAACCCAAGATGCCTTCTACTCCTCTGCTCTAATCACTAAGTATTTGTGCCTCAATTAGAATGGGAAGTGTATCAGTGCATGAGATGTGCTACTTGTGATTCCTATGATAGGGACCCTTTGCTTAGGGTGAAGTTTATCATAAAATGAAAAGCTTCACCATAAAAAAGGAGCCCACCGTATTCTAAGTCACCCCACAGCATTTCTTTATATAGTACCAGTATGCTTAGACTATGATCATGAAATCGTGCTCTTTGGTGATTATCCCGTTATCACATTGGAAATGTACTTATTTTATAAAGTGCAAATCTGACCCAGCACCATAAAGCTGCATTAAATTACTAAACTCTACTGCAGTGGTATATGCAGCACATCATCTGTTATTTAATATTTCAGATTAATCACAGCGACTCCCTCCCACCACTCACTCTCAGTAACTCTTCGGTGTGGAAGGCTTAAACTCCTTAACTCCTTATACAAAAATAGAAAGCTGGGAGACATATTGCTCCTCAAATTAATCCTACACTGAACTGATTCAGCAGCCTGGATTCTGCTCTATTTACAATTTTAAAGGACTTTTGACTTGACAAAGGTTACGGAGACCTTGCGATCAGAAGCTGAAAGGTAAAGTTGGAACGTGGATGTGGCTGGAAGACCAACAGTTGCCCTTATAACCGTGTCACACAGTTGTGTACGAAGCCTTTAAATAGAGGTGGTAGTTCATAACTTAGCTGTTGCGGTAGGTGTGGGACTAGGACAAAGGCAGCGACACTGGTGATACAGACTCCAAGTACAACAGCTGGAGGTTTTTGGCGGTGTCTGAGGGTGGTTCATCTCGTCCCACCGTACAGTCCCCTGGGAAATTCATCCAGCTTTGGTCTTGACTGTCCAACCTCCTGAGGATCCCTCTGACCACCCCCTTCTCCCACATGCACACAAAATCCCCAAGCGGATTTCCGATATACAACTACCCAGTGAACAGGTTGGCCAGGGATGAAGCCACAATGGTCCAAGGCATGGGAGGTCACAGAACAGAGCTCTTGGGGATGGAAGAAGTGATCACTTCCCCCAGGTGTTGCTATATTGAAAGGAGTTTTCAGTGTATTAATAATTGTGTGTAATTGTCACATATTGGGCATCACACAAGGGGCCTTCTGCCTGTAAAAATGACACTGTGACTTTTGGAAGAGCAGGAAATATTGCCAGTACTTTATTGGTACCAAAGTGTGTGGATTGTTATGTATTGCACAAGGACATAGCTACACACTTTTGTCCCCCCCGATACGATTGCTACCTGTCTCATTCTGGACAAACTAGTTCCCTTATTTGAATCTCTGCCTTCCCCAAATATGCTCAGAATGTCTGGTGCCATTGGCAAGTTGGGGGTAGGGAATTTTAAGCAGAGGTGGCTGCCTCGCTCTGTTCCCATTCTCTCTCGGCAGAAGCCTCTTCTCACCCCTGCATGCAAAAGGCACTTTTCCCTTTCCATTCAAATCCTCAGCCTCATCCAAGGAGCCTTCTCTGCCAATTCTGCCTGCAGCGATGCTGGAACGCTCCGAGGAACCCTGACATGACAGTGTCATGACAAGCTTTAGTCATTCAACACAGTGCCTGCTGTTTAAAAACTAAAGCAAATGTTTTTAGGGGGTCCTGTTCACAATGGGAGGAGAGCCATGCTAGCTACAACTGGGTTTAAACATGATTGTTTAAACATGGTGCTGCTCTTAAGGTGGTGAGGGTCTTAATGAGACCACCAAATTCATGAATGCTCTTTACCATGTCATTTCTCAGTAAGATCTCCATGGTATAGAGATGACAATAGTCCAAACTATCCCTCGTGGGAATGCATGAGCTAGGATCATTCTTCTAAATACCTTTAGCGTGTCCACTCCTTCAGTGGAGATCTCTGCCCAACCACTGCCTGTCTTAAAAGAGAACTTCTTCCAATCACTGGCCTATCTTAGAGCTCTCTCCAAAAATAACATAAACCATCTCTGGGATGGAGCCGTTTTGACCCCCAATGCTGCGGTTCTGTTGATCTGCAGGCATCTCATTAGCTGAGAGTACTTAACAGCCAAGACCAAGAAGACGAACTGTGGGATTTTAAAACCAGTCTAGAAAAGGCCAGCAGTTGATTCCTAGTGGTGAGGAATTCAAGTGCATTGCTTTGAAGTGCAACCCGCCCCCCTTTGTTCTCCTACTGTCCCCCTCAAGTTTTAAACACCCAGAATATATTGAACACGCTGGTGATCATTCAGACTCTTTCAGGCACTATCGTTAGGCAGAACTGTCATTTTGCTCAGAGGGATTTGCTTGAGATAGCAGCTCCTCTAATAATATCACCCTGGATTCCCCTTATAATGGGAGGTTTCTTGTAGATCTTAAAAAGAGATCAATATACCAAAACCAAATTCAATTAGAAAATATAATCATCTCCTCTTCCTGGAAGTGACAGCACCTCCATCCCAGGCTGGGGCAGGATTTTTACATCTTCGATATCCTTTCAACGGGTTTCACTTTAAGTCAGTCTGAAACGTGATCAGGCCCTGCTTACAAATGTTCCGGTCAGTCTATTCAGCACTGTGTAAAGCAGGCACTAAGCACTCGGTTGCTGATGCGTTCCCCCTGTTCCTCTTTGTCCCCTCTCGGCCTGCATCAGAGGGATCTCCTCAGTCTTCTTCTGCGGATTTGAACATGAGGATGGCATTGTAGATTTTCAGTGCAGGGCCCAGCTTAATGCTCAGTATTTTAACTATGTCCGCCTGGTTCAGGAGGAGGAAGGCTTCACCGTCTATCTGCTGTAGGAGGGAGAAACAGTACGAAATGAAGATTACTGCCAGGAAACTTCCATGATTCCCTCCCCAGATTGTTTTGTTTAGGAAGGAGAAACAAGAGAGGTATATAAAACAGTGCATGGTACTGTGAAGATAAAAGTGTCTGCTCCTATTTACCCTCCTTTGTAATACAAGCGCAAGGGAAATCCAGTTAAACTGAAAGGAAGCACATTTAAAACTGATTAAGGTAACCCTCTTCTTATGTTTTTACAAAATACATATTTAAGCTGTGGAACTCACTGCCACCAGGTATCGGAGTCTCAGACCTTAGCAAATTTTTTTTAAAAAGGGAGTAGACATTTACATGGATTAACAAGAACATTCACAGTTACCCTAGAAAGGATAAAGTTATAATTCCTATAGACCCCTAGTGCTTCAGGGCATAAGCCAAATATTAACTGATAGAGGCTAGAAAGGCATTTCTGTTATAGGCAAGTGTGACAAGGTGTGCTGAGTCTAACAACATCCTGTCACTCTGATACCCACCGGTATTATATTATTTGGTATTAACTGGGACCTAATTGGACGACAAGTAGTTGACAGAGGGTGTCAATTAACTGAGTAGAGCTACAGCTGAAGGGCTACTGGAAAGGGAAGCAGCCCTAGCAGGTGGGACTGTACACACTGATAGGAAGGAAGTGCAAGAGAGGAGGGAGTCTGAAGGAAGGCAGGACTGGCTGCAAGGAAGCTGGCTATGGAATGCAAATACACCTCTACCCTGATATAAGGCGACCCGATATAACACAAATTCGGATATAACGCGGTAAAGCAGCCCTCCGGTGGATCAAAGCAAGTTCCATATAACGCGGTTTCACCTATAATGCAGTAAGATTTTTTGGCTCCCGAGGACATGTTATATCGGGGTAGAGGTGTACATGTAAATAAAACACTATAGGCTGTAGCCTGCTGAAAGAACATGATAAAGCACAGTGGTGAAGGAAACCTGGAGTGGTTGTGGTCTGTGATTAAGGCCTGAAAGGACTCTCTGGGGGACCACCCTGCGACAGCAAACTACTCCACAGATGTCCATTACAGGGTTCTGCAGCATCTGGCATTGGCCAATGTCAGAAATAGGGTCCTGGACTAGGGATGGCACGTTTCTGATCCAGGATGACAATTCTTACATCCCTAGGATTTTTTTCTAACTGGAAATCTATTGATTTTAACAATTGGCTGAATAGTGTGGGTCTGTCTAATTACACTGGACAGTCATGTGGGCAAGGCAAAGAACTGGGGATTTTAAGGTCAGGCTTGACAAAGCCCTGGCTGGGATGATTTAGTTGGGGATTGGTCCTGCTTTGAGCAGGGGGTTGGACTAGATACCTCCTGAGGTCCCTTCCAACCCTGAGATTCTATGATTCTATGAACTGGGAGCCAGATCTTATTTCTATTCCTCTATTCATAAAAACACTGCGCGATCTTATGCGAGTCACTTAACCTCTCTGTGCCTCAGTATCTGCAACTGTAACATGGGAATGTCAGCAATGCTCCCTAACTCCTAGGGGGTCGCACAACTTAATTCATGAATGTTTGTAAGATGCTCAGGTACAGGACTGCTGTGATGAGATTCCTAGAAATAAACAGAGAGCTGCTTAAATAAAACCAAATGGATCTAAAAAGTGTGCTGCAAAGCGGTCGTATATTTCAGCATGATATTTTGGGTCTGATACAATTATTACAGCTTCACACTGATCCTGTTACTTTCTAAGTCATTTTATTTTAGAGAGACCACTGCTGAATTAGTCCCAGACGCAAATGGAATAACAATGCCTATGATATACTATGTGTCACTTTGTTCCATCCTGCTTGGCTTCTTTCTAAAATTCTTTGCACGATTCGTTCTCTTTCGTGCTAAGATAGCTCAATAAGAAAATAAAGCATCAACTTCCTCTCCTCCCCAAAGCCTGCACGGGGTTTATTTACCTAAACAGAATGCAGTTACAGGCCTGATTACAGCTAACGGACTATTCCAGTGGAGTTCAGAGGTTCTGTCAGTCACACCTGAATACTTGCCAGGTTCTGGCTTAAGCTCAGCCCTTTATTAAAAGGGTTTTAATTTCGACCTGACAATTTAGTTTGAATACAAGTCTGAAAATACATGAAACCCTTCATGCCAAGGTTAGGGACTGGTGCTTAGCAGGGCTCTGGACTGCTGGAGGCAAGAGGTGAAATAGGAAGTGGCTATGCTGGGAATGGAATTAGCTCTAACTACACGATATCAAAAGTTTGAATGGTGGATTTATTAGTAGATTTACCAGGAGAATCTCATTTATCTACATACTTTGTCAGGAATCGGGTTATTTCCCTGTGCTCAGTTACATTGGAAAGTCCCCCATTTCTGTCCATGTCCCCCACTCTATTTAGTTAAACAGTGTTCCACTGTAATATTACCTTCGGTACAGTACTTTCTGAAAGCCTCAAACTGTTTTACAGAATGAAAATATGGACCAATATACAGAACTATGAGCATGACTTCCATTTGCCTGCCACTGAAATGCAGCCATCTCAGGGGTGCAATCATTTATGTATTTCTGGATTTATTAAAAATATGCCCATTACAATGAGCGCTGTGTACTATTATTTATTCGGAACCCAAGAACATGCTAAGTGCCTTGCAGAACATAGAGAAGATATAGTCCCTATCCTCAAGGACGTACAATTGAAATAGACAACACACTGATGGCACAAAAGGGAAGCACGAATAAGCAAGCTGATCAAAGGAGTGTTAAGTACACCCTGAGTTGCACCTGGAAATGTAATTGGAAGCCAGCAGAGTCCAGAGAGCAAAGGTATGATTCATTAGAGAAAATGTGCTGAGTAAGCAGACAGCCAGGTTCTGCAGTAGCTGAGGTATTTGAGTGGTGTTCAAAGGCCAGGTAGAGTGCAGTGCAGTAATCCAACTTGGGAGTGACAAAGGCAGGGAAAATTGTGGCCAGATTTGCATCCAAGAGGAAAGCCTACAACTTCCTAAACAGCTGCAGATTCAAAAAAGTCTCATCCGTTGTTGCTGCCTAGGAATCCAGGAAGAGCCTGCGATCCCTAAGAGAATCCCCAGGTTGTCAGCCTCACTAACAAAAGCAGACATACCTAAGGCTGCATGTCTATCATGGAGGTCACGGACGTCACAGATTCCGTGACTTTCCGTGACCGCCATTACTTCTGCAGTGGCTGGTACAGCTGGCCCAGGGTCTGCCTGAGCCGGGCAGCCCCTGGATTAGCAGCAGTTTGGATGGGGGAGGGGGCTCAGGACTGAGATAGGGGAAGCACTTACCTCAGGGAGGCTGGGGGAGGAGGATCTCCCGGGAGCAGCCGGCATGTCCCTGCAGCTCCTAAGCAAAGGGGCCAGGGGGCTCTGCGCACTGCCCCTGCCTGCAGGCACCACCCCCGCAGCTCCCATTGGCTGTGCTTCCCGGCCAATGGGAGCTGTGGAGATGGCGCATGTGGCGGGGGTGGCGTGCGGAGTCCCCCTGGCCTTCCCTCCCCCTAGGAGCTGCAGGGACATGCCGGCTGCTTCCAGGGAGCTGCGTGGAGCCGGGTAGGGAGTCTGCCAGCCCCGGGGTCCCGGGCTGTGCACCGCCCACCTCCCCCTCAGTATCAGGGATCCTGGGACACCCCCCAGCACTCACGGTGCCTCTGGACCACCCCCCCAGAGAGCAACCCTGGCCCAAGTCTTAGGTCACAGGCTGTAAATTTTTGTTTATTGCCCATGACTTGTCCATGACTTTTACTAAAAATATCCATAACTAAAATGTTGCCGTAGGCATATCCCATCACTTGAAGGAGCAGATGAGATCTCCATTGCATTGCAGTGCACTACACTACATAGCAGTCCAAGACAGGACCTGAAAAATAAACTTTGCAAGTTTAAATTCACCCTCCAGTTTTAAAGTTTTACTCACGCTGGAATTTGACTAGGATGCTGCAGCTCCCCAGAAGTGCCACATTCTCTTTCATAAGCAGAAATCATAGCTTAGCTAGGCACCATGACTCCAAATCACTAGAAATGCAAGAGCACACAGCTGGCAGTGCTACAGAATAACACTTAATCAGGCTTTTCTTACCTCTTCCCTGAATACTGAAGCTTGTTCCTTACAGCCAGGTAAACGCTGGACAAAGCTAGCCACCTAAAATAAACAGTGGAAATAATGCAGTTAACACAGAGAGATTAATGGGACACCATTGACTCAGAAACTATATTTCCATCTTAATATGTTCTACCTCTTATAGTTACAAAAGATATCTGAAATGTCTATAGCTGAAAGTGAGGATAACAAAAGTCTCTTTTTCAGTTTGTCTCCTCTGTGCATCTGACAGCATGGTGCTCATAGTAATTCCACGCTCTCCCATGGAGAGTCAGCCAGTTTCTCCCCTGGTGAAAAAGCCCTTACAAACATTGACATTATTTTTAAGGATTTACAAATTAATCAATCAATCAACCAGGAGGTACGATTTAGAGGGAGCGCTGTCAGAAAATGGAATTTTTAGAAATTAAGCTAATTTAAATGAGTTGACAGTGTCCCTTTAAGAGGCAAGATTTAGACTACTAAATATGTCTGGCTTGCCTGAGGAAGGGGAACAATAGTTTACACACATGTGAAAAGTGGAAGCACTAGCGAGAGAAAGGAACTACCATTCGGTTATGGTGAAGCAAGGGAGTATAACTAGGACCAATGGGATTAAATGAGGAAAAGTGAATTGTGCGTTGAGTAGCAGGCAGGGCCGGCTCCAGGTCTTTTGCCGCCCCAAGCAGCAGGGAAAAAAAAAAAGAAAAAAGCCGCGATCGTGATCGGCGGCAGCTCCACCGCGCCGCTTTCTTCTTCAGCAGCAATTCGGCAGCAGGTCCTTCCCTCTGAGAGGGATCGAGGGACCCACCGCCGAATTGCCCGAGGTGCCACCCCTTCCCCTTGGCCGCCCCAAGCACTTGCTTGCTGGGCTGGTGCCTGGAGCCGGCCCTGGTAGCAGGAAAAACTTTCTAATGGTGAGATGTGTTCGACTGTGGAATAGTCTCCCCAGGGATGTGGTGAAAGCCCCGTGAGTTAGGTTATTTAAAACTGGACTACACAGTGCACTATATCGGGGATGACAGAGAAGAAGAAATAGACTAGATGACTTTATGTGTGTTGTTTCAGTCTCTAACTTCCATGGTTCATGGAAGATTTGTATATCAAAGCATAATCTGTTCAAACAGCTCTTCCTAATTGGATGTTTCCTGCAGGGAATAGCTCTATTTCAGAAGGCATGTTCACTTGAGTTGGTATAGATGTGATATTTCTCCCACCAATACAAATGGACAAGCCTTAAAAGGGACACTGTCAAATCCTATTTCCTCTCTCCTTTTTAACTCCTGATTGTCCAACCCCATCCTCTCCTAAAAAAAAAAAAAGATTCAAAATGCCTTCTCCTACTGATTCTACTGTTTCTGAATTTAGCAAACATTAATTCTTCTCTCTCACTCCCATGAAACTATAAAGAAACGAAGCAAACAGGGTTCCTTCTGTTTACAGAAAACTCCCATTGATTTCATTGGAACTGTAGGTGCCCAGACCCATTAGGATCAGGCCCAGGGTTTAACTACTATTGCCGGGCCAGCAGGGAGAGCTCTGCTTCAGGGGATCCACACAAAAAATGGTAACTTTATACAAATCGGAAATCTGGGGTTTCTGAATGGTGAGATGTGAATCCAGCAGCCTAGGTTGTTTGCAGAGGTAATTTCTCCTTGGTTTCCCCCATGGAAAAGTCCTGTAGAATTTAAACAAAAATGAAGACCTTTCTATAGGTTTCTGAATTGTGCTACAGAATTTAATAGAAAAATGTCTCCTACATGTTCTAGTACACGTAACAGGGTGGTCTGTCTCCTGCTTTAAAGGGCAGTGGGGGCCAGAGCCAGCCAGCCCTGTTCCATGACATGGGCCCTTTAAGAAAACAGATGTTTAAGGGGCTAGCAGACAAACTGGGCACAGGAGCTAGGTTTAATCAAGTGGCTACCCCTGAACATAATAAAAGTCAGCTGTTAGGTGACTGTCAGGGGGCAGAGAAGAACTGCAAGAGAGCAGCTCCCTGGAACGGGAACCAGATCCTGGATACTCGTGGGGTAGGGAAACCTGCCTGAATCACATGCTGTGAGATCTGTTAGAATACAGTAATAGGAGGTTCAAAGGCTCTCATTGTCTAAGATCCTACGCCTGGTCATGCATTAGCACTCCATCCACATATGGATGGGGGTCCTCCTCAGTAGATCTCTCCACCTTCATGAGGAAGAAGGGCCCAGGTGCTTCATGCCAACATCCTTCCCCAACCTCTGGCCCATCAGAGGGTGCTCTGCACTGTCCGCGGCTGCATGGGAGTAGGGAGCAAGGGAAGCAATGATGTATGGCCAAGAATGAGACTGGGGGGAAGCTACGGTGCCAGGGACCCAGTGGGGGCTATCGGTGACCAGAGTTGATTTGGAGATAGAGGATACCTCTGGCCTCCTGCAGATCTCCAGGGATCATCAGATTTGTGGGTGGGCTTTAGGGCTTTTCCTGTGGGATGGTAAACCACAACCTGCCCTTCCCACAGGGAAAGCCACAGAGCCCCCCACATGCTGTGTGGTGATCTCTGCGAGGACATGACAGAGATGCCCAGGGGAAAAGTCCCCACCTGTGGCTCTGCATGCTGGGGAGGGAAACAGGAGATCTGATCCATAGGTTTTAGAGTACTTTCTAGAGAACATCGTGTGACGCTCTGTACCTCGGGGGAACACCCTGCACCCCCATGTTCATCCTTATAATATGATTGTGTGGTGTCCAGTGCAAAGTTTGTCATGTCGGGTGTCTTCGGAAGGCTCATGATGCACTGAGCAGTGTTGTTATAGTAATGTTATAGGTTGTAATTTCATGTATATAGTTATGAGGCTGAAAAATGTGTCCTCACGGCTTAAAACAAGCCCAGGCAAAAACTCTTCAGGAGCAGAGGGGCAGTTCACACCTCATCAGGGCATGGATGGGACAAACGCAGCCCAGCCTCACAGGAACAAAGGACACTGGCCTAGGCAGCAACAAAGGATCTGTTGGACTCTCGAGTGAGTCACCCCCCTTCCCTTGGGGCTTGTCTACACTACCAAGTTTTGTGACAAAACTTATGTCGCCCCCCAAAAGTCGACAAAACAAAAAATCACCAAAGGGAGTTCATACTTGCTCCCTCTGTCGACAGATCATGTCCACACTGGGGACACCATCGTCGACAGGGTGAGCAATGCACCGTGGGGACGTATCCCACAATGCAGCGTTGTGGGAAGGACGAGCTGATCGCTGCATGAGTTCTCCCACAGCCCCCTCAGCTGCCGAAAGCAGCTCTGTGAGCTCTCCGTGCTGAGGAATGGCAAAGCCGTCTGTCCCCCTCCCCCATGACAGCAGTCGGCCTGCTGCTGTGTTCCTAGTGCCGGGCAGAACAGGAGCATTCCAATGATTTGCTCTGTTTGTTCCCCAAAGGGAGCCGCGCACAGATCCTTCCCAGAGCTTTGAAAGGGGAGGGGCGCATGCCTGCAGGGCAGCAGAAATCAAAACACTGAGCAGAGCAATCAGGGCAGGCATTGTGGGATACTGGTGGAAGCCAGTTCTGTGGACGAAACCATCAGCAGTGTTTACACTGGCTCTTTGTCGACAATAAAGGGAGGGGAAAAAACAAAAGTCTTTCGTGGGGTGGAAGTTTTTTGTCGCCAAAGCTGGGCATTTTTCGAGACAAAAGTCCCATCGTAGTGTGTACGCTTTTGCTGTTTCGTCGTCAAAAGGCAGTTTTTACCTCCCACTCGCGGCTGCGGCTCCTTCCCAGTGGGACGCGCCTCCCGCCGCCCCGGCCACATGCGGTGCGCGTCCCCCGCGCATAGTCTCCCTCCTGCCGGGAAGGAGCCGCTGGACGCGCGCCGCATGTGCCCGGGGTGCGCGTCCCGCCGGAAAGGAGCCGCAGCCGCGAGCGGGAGGGAGAGGCATGGGGCTCCCCGGCAGCAGCGGGGATTCGGCCCATGCCCCCGCGCCGCCCACCCAGCCCCTGCCCGCTCCGCACTGCCCCCGCCCGGACCCACCGCGCTGCCCCATTGTCTGCAGGGCTGGAGCAGCCTCTAGGCTGCGCTCCCGGCCCCGGTGTGCAGCGGCCCGGGCAGGAGCCCTCTGGCACGGCGGGGAGCTCAAAGCTGTCTGGGGAGCTCTCTCCCTTGCCAGCCCCCCTTTGCCTGCCCGGTGCTTGGGTGCCGGAGCTGACTCACCAGCTCCAGAATCCAGGCGCCGCTACCCCCTCCCCCAGGCTTGCGCCGCCATGCAGCTGCAAGCCTGGGAGGGAGGAGGAACGGTGCGTGGTTGGGGAAGAGGCGGGGCCAGGGTGGGGATTTGGGGAGGGAGCCAATGGGGGAAGGAAGGGGCGGAGGGCTGCGAGTGCCAGAGCGGAGGGCAAAATTTCTTGTTTGTCCAGTGTCCCGACCAAACATTGGTGGGGACACGGGACAAAGAAGCAAATATCGAGACAGTCCCGATAAAATCGGGATGTCTGGTCACCCTACAAGAGACTGAAGCATTGATCAAAGGGGAGAGCCTGGCTGAAGGGTAACCAGCCTGCCTGTGGTCGGAAACATCTAAGTTTGTAAGGGCAATGAAAGTGTTAAGGTCAGCTTAGAATGCGTTTTGCTTTTATTTCATTTGACCAAATCTGACTTGTTGTGCTTTGACTTATCACTTAAAATCTATCGTTTGTAGTTAATAAATTTGTTTGTTTATTCTACCTGAAGCAGTGCGTTTTGTTTGAAGTGTGTCAGAGACTCTCCTTGGGATAACAAGCCTGGTACATATCAATTTCTTTGTTAAATTGATGAACTCATATAGGCTTGTAGCGTCCAGTGGGCATAACTGGACACTGCAAGATGGAGGTTCCTAAGGTTGTGTCTGGGACGGGAGATAGTGGCTGGTGTCGTTCGGTTGCACAATCCAAGCAGCGGCTGGCCAAAAGTGCCCACTCACGTAGCTGGGAGCAGCTTACATGCCACAGGCTGTGCGTGAACAGCCCGGGAGTGGGGGTTCTCACAGCAGAGCAGGGTAAGGCTGGCTCCCAGAGTTGAGGACTGGAGTGGCCTACCAGATCACCGGTCCAGAGAACACCGGGGAATGTCACACATCCTCAATATCATGAAATTCTATAGGGCTTCTTCCATAAGGGTTGCAATGAGGTCTTAGATTTGAGGTAGGATATTGAAGTCTCCATAATTCTGGCATCTTAAGTACCCCTTTCCTTTGATTGATACTCCCTCTTGCATAGATTCTATTCTTATACCTGGTAACAATTTTGAAGGTAGTGGGATGCTGGAGTCTAAGCGAGCATTCGGCCTCCCTGTAATAACATATCAAAGTAGGAGTGACAAGACCATGTGAAAATATGCAAATAGGAGCTAGTATTAACAAGAGCTTTATAATCCACATACAGCTTGCACAAGGACAATCTCCCACAGCCTTCAGTATTAACATCTCATATGGGATTAATTAATGAGCAATTCAAGCTCTGTTATATATTAATATATCCCTGGGACTCGACCCTCCCAACCCTACCATCTAACTACTCTTTGAAAACATGACAGGAAGCTTTCAATAAATAACAAGCCCTCATTCAAATGACAGCTCTTTTTGACTGGTCAGTGTTATTGACAACAAGCCTTTACTTGGGTGTCTCAGATTACTGCTGGTCATTCATTTCAGCGGCTCTCAGACCTTAGAGATTAAAATAAATTATTTTTCTTTAATGTGGGTTTTGTAAATTAAACAGATCTTTAGTTTCAGACTAAAGGAGAATTTTCAGAGTTCAGAGGCACCTGGCACCAACCACTGACCAACGACTGCCTGGCAGGAAGGTGTTACAAGTCCAGGTTTCAAGAGACCAGCTCTAGTTAGTGCCCACTAAAACCCAGGAAGTCCTCTGTCTTTACCTTCTTCACAGGCCTATATTACATTGTACATCCTGGTTCTCCAAGTGCTTCTTTCATGGGCATCTCATTGACTCCAGGGGAATTCTGCAAGATTGGATCCTTTTACTGATACTTAGGACAAAAGCTGATATGCCCTGGTGTAACAATTAAGGCCAAGTAGGCCTATTTTAATTGTTAGCCCTACTGGTGAAAAGTGGGTCAACGTTCATGAAGTGTCACAATGATCTGTTACATAAAACTGTTTAGGAAAAGCTGTGAGAAGGAGGCAGACAGACGGCATTCATTTAAACAGAAAGGATCCACTGACACCACTCCAAGGACTGTGTTAAGAGGAGCAGAAATCAATTAACCAAAATTGGAGTGTCAGAAACGAGGCCTAATTGGTGGACAAAATAACGAGAGGAGGGATTATTACACCCACTATCTTCTTGGAGCTGTTAAAAAAGACTTTTTAGGGGGGTAGGGTGTGTGTGTGTGTGGGAAACAAAAGCAAACTTTTTTTTTTTTTTACACTATCAGTGCAGTTGCAGCAGCAGGATTGTTGCC